ATGGGGAAAGCCCTGGGTTTGCATCCTGGAACCTCCCTGCCCACGCCGGGTGCACACACACTGTGATGGGGTGATGGGGGCTGGCTGCGACTGGGGGTGGACTGTGATGTGGGGACCCCATTGAGGGTGCCTGCCTCTCTGTCTCTCATTCTCACGGAAGAAATGAGTGGATGGACTTCAAAATTATAAACTAAAAATAAAACTGCCCTAAGATCCAGCAATCCCATTCTGTGGCATGTACTCCAAGGAGTGAGAATCCACATGCTGCAGGTCTGTGTTCCATGGTCCCTGCAGCATTGTTCACAATAGCCAGGACGTGAAAGCAATCTGTGTTGATTAATGAATGAATGATAAAGAAAATGTGGTACGGGTGGGCCTCCGTATCTGTGGGTTCCACATCCATGGTTTCAACCAATTGTGGGTAGAAAATACTTTTAACAAAGCAACAATAATATAATAAGGGAATAACGCAAGGCCCGGCTGCTCTGGTGCAGCAGTTACACAGTGCCCTGCAAGGCTAGAAGGTCACATGGCCAACCTCAGGTTGAGATCCCACCTGAAAACACTTCAGGCCTGCACGCGGGCACCCAGGAGCCTGAGGAGCTCCAGGACTGAGGGCGAGGGGTCATGGTGTGACAAGACAAGACCCTGTCACAGGTGCTTTCTGCCTGTCTGTCTCCTCCTTTCATGTGTGTGCATACTCTATAATAAACAGAAAATACACACATTTGAAAAATACGTTATAAAAATTCACACAGCATTTACATTGTATTAGGTATTACAGGTCATTTAGAGATGGTTTGAAGTATCGGGGAGGATGTGCCTAGACTGCACGCAAGACTATGCCATTTTGTATGGGGGGTTTAAACATCGGCGGAGTTTGGTATCCTTAGAGTTCGTGAATCAAGTCCCTCACCAATACTCAGGGACGGTAAGTATAAACGATGTGGTATTATTCAGGCTTTGTAAAAAAGGAGTTCTGGCACTTGCAGCAACGTGGATGAACATGGAAGATATTATGCTAAATGAGATAAATCAGACGAAGAAAGACAAAAACCACATGATCTCACTTTTCTGCGGCATTTAAAACATTTGACTTATAGAGGAAGAGAGTTGAACGGTAGTGAGTGAGGCTGGGGAAGTTGGCCAGGAAGGAAATGGAGGAATAAATGTTTATATCTACTGCACGGCATGATGTCAATAGTCCATAATAACGTATATTTCAAAAAAAATAAATTTACTACAGTAGATTTTAAATGCCTCGCCACAATGATAAGTATATGAGGCAGTAGAGACAATAATTAATTTGATCTAATCTTTCGGTTCCTACACTATGTGTGTGTGTGTGTGTGTGTATATATATATATATATATATATATATAGTGTTCACATAGTACCACATAAATGTATACAGTTGTAACTTGACAATTTAAGATTAAAAAAAAAGAATTGATGCCAAATCAGGTCTTCAAGAAGTACTGAAGGGAGAGCTATACCAGGAAAACTAAAGAGAGACTATAGAAATAAGAGAACAAAAACAACCAAGAAAATGGCTGGCATAATAGTAGGGACAAGTCTGGAGAAATAGATAATAGCAGTGAATGTTAATGGATTAAATTTTCCAATCAAGAGACATGCTGGCTAAATGGAGAAAAAACAGAAACCCTCTATCTGTTGTGTACAAGAAATGCAACTCATGGGTAAAGACATACATCAACTAAAGTGAAGGGCTGGAAAAAGATATCCCATGCAAACGAGAAGCAAAAATGGCTGCAGTCTGGAGTTGAGACAATAGCAGTGAATGTTAATGGATTAAATTTTCCAATCAAGAGACATGCTGGCTAAATGGAGAAAAAACAGAAACCCTCTATCTGTTGTGTACAAGAAATGCAACTCATGGGTAAAGACATACATCAACTAAAGTGAAGGGCTGGAAAAAGATATCCCATGCAAACGAGAAGCAAAAATGGCTGGAGTCTGGAGTTGAGATATTAATTTCAGACAAAATAGACTTTAAGACAAAAGTTGTAAGAAGAGTCAAGAAAGGGCATTAGATGGCAGTAAAGGGGCTACTTCATCAAAAAGACTTAACGCTTATAAATATCTATGCGCCCAACTCAGGGGCACCCAAATATGTGAATATGTGAAGGAAAGACTGTAGAAGACTGTAGATCTTTAAAAAAAAAAAAAAAAGGAAGGAAGAAAGGAAGAAAGAAAGAAAATGATTTAAAAAAATTTCAAGATTATAGGGTTCATTGTGGCTACTAAAACATTTAGGACCTCCCAGAGACTCCAGGTTCATTGGATGATTTCAGTTGGCTCCTCTGCACATCTGGAGGGTGCATCTCTGGTCACCCATTTCATTTAAATTCAATAATGCTGTGTTTTCACCTGTCTTAAGTGTGACCGACCCACTACCAGAGAACCTGGGGTTAGCATGAAGGAGAGGAGAGCTGGGTGTTCTTTCCTGCTCAGTGTCATAATTTTTAGTGACATACGCTGCTATGAGGTTTGTGATTTTTAGGTTGCTATGTGCCTGTGCATGTAATAGAGGACAGAAAACAACCAAGAACATGGCTTACATAGTCGTAGGGATCCGCTCAGAAATATCAACAATAATGGAGCATATTAAAGGATTAAATTATCCCACTGTGTTATGTGTGCGTATGCCCATAACGTGATTCATAAAACACCCTGAGCTGGGACTTGTCCAAATCCGTGTCAGAAGGTGCAATTTTTTGTTTGTTTGTTTTTTCCATAGGCCTCATGTGCTTACCAGAGATAGAAAGTAAGAAATCACCCCCAGGGGAGGGGAGGGATGGCCATGCCACAATCCCTTCTCCTCCACTGCCCCTCTGGGATTTGGGGCACACATAGATGCATACCTGGCATGATTTTCAAGCTTTCAGTTTGAACCATGGTTGGTCATATGGGAATCCAGCACCTCAACCACCACGTCAGTTACTGGGCCCCAGAAGGTGCAATTTTGACAACAGCCATTGTCTGCCTACTTTTAGGACAATTGCCTATCACCATTAGACACATGCTGACATTTGCAGTCAGAGCCCCAGCAAAGCACAACAGCTTCCTTCTGTGGATGCCGTAGAGCTCCAGGGTCTAACTTAAGAGAGCCGACAGCTGCTACGTGTCCAAGCAACGTAGCTTTCTCCTTAGATATATACTTGCTGAACATTCAAGTAAGTTCACTTTCATCTGAAATAACCAGGGCTAACCTGCTATATTAGCCTGGGAAAGGTTCACCAGACACTTGTCATTCAGGCTTACAAATACTTTGAAGCATGGAAAATTTTGTTCTTTTTTATTTATTTATTTTTTTGGAGTGGTTTTTGCTGTAGGGCGCGTGCACTTGCCAGAGAGATAGAGAGACAGAAAGTGAGAAATCAGTCCCCAGGGGGAATGGCCATGCCGCAATCCTTTCTCCTTCATTCTCCTCTCAGGATCTTGGGCACACACGCACATGCGCCCGGCGTGAGTTTTAAGCCATCAGGTCCGGGACGCGAACCGTGGTCGACTACGTGGGAGTCCAGTGACATAGCCATTACGCTAACTGCTGGTCCCGGGAAGTTTTGTTCTTGAGAGGGAACTGAAAACTCCAAACAGAACTATTGGCTCTTCTTACTAACCTAATTTTAGAGGCTATGAAGTTAATGCATTTCTTTAATTGGGGATTTATGGAAGCCAGCATTCTTTTATTGCTATTTTAAAATACAAATATGAGACTCTAAGCACATCACTAGCGTTCTCTGTATACTTATTTCTGTTATGGACGTAGTGACACCTGTCCACCAATGGTCTGGCTATCTTGAGGATCAAGTGAGATGTCTTCTCATGCCATGATAACCATGCCCTGGGAGTCTCTCACGGTTGAGTTTTGAAGTGTGTAAAGCCACCAGAAAGTTATGGCTCACTTTTTTTTTTTTTTTGAGAGGTTTTATGCCATAGGGCGCGTGCACTTGCCAGAAAGTGAGAGACAGAGAGACAGAAAGCGAGAAATCACCCCCTAGGGGGGATGACCATGCCACAATCCCTTCTCTCCATTCTCCTCTCAGGATCTTGGGTAACACGCACACGTGCCCGGCATGAGTTTAAGCCGCAGGGTCCAGGACTTGAACTGTGGTCAGCTACATAGGAGTTCAGCAACATAGCCATTATGCCAACTGCTGGTCCCATGGCTCACTTTCTTAGATTAGTGGCAACTTGAAATTATATTTTTACATTAACAAACAGATACAGTGTGAAGTCTAATTTAAAATGTTGCATGTTTAAGGCAAAGTAATAAACTTCCATTATTGTGACTGGAAGAGACAACTTGTATTCTATTCCAAGATTCCAGCACCTGAGAATCAATGCCTTGGGACTCTATTGGCAGAAATGCTGAAGTAGCTTTCATGCTTCTGCTAGCACTTGAAAAAACAGTCAAACAGAATGAAATTGTGAAGTGTTTTCACTCTGAAAGGTTACTCCCTTGTGGGTTATAACTCAGCATCATTCCAAAACTTGCCTCCGCTCTCTCTCAGCATGCTCCACTGTCTCGTCTATGTGAGAAACCTGTCACCCAGGGCCAACCTTGTGTGTCCTAGCTGTCCTCCCAGATGTGTCTCTTTTGGAAAGCATACCAGCATCTTCTTTCGCGAATACTCCAGGACTGATAAGTCGGATTCTCTCTTCCTCTTAGCAATGTCCACTGTTTTCCAAACACAGGAAAAATGAATGAACCCGTTCTGCATTAGCAGATGCTAGTAAATTCATCTCACCTCGTGTAATTCACTCAAAGTTTGACATTGATCAAAAGGATGGTTCTAGTAATCAGAATATCAGACTCTGTGGCTATCTATGGTACAAACTCACTGGACCTCAGATCTTCACAGGCACAGAGACAGCCTTTTGAGAAGCTCTAAACCTCAGACTTTTCAATATAGATTTCTGTAGAATACCGACAGAGATGACACTCTTAACTATTTCAGAGAATTCATTCTTACCTTGTACCAGGTCACTTCAGGACTTTGTGCATCATCTTGGCAGCTGAGACTGGGACAGTGAATTTGGCCCAAGCTTCCAAAACGCAGGTCTTGCTTATGTGATACATCCTTGCAGGAGGTATTTGTCTGGGGCTTAACTTCCAAGACTGTCCTGACACAACAGGCCACATCCTGGGGGCTCCTAGGAGATTTGCAAGGTTTTATTAGCATGAATAGTTTATCCAGATAGTAAAGAATTTGGGAATGTTTTCCCGAAAGATGTCTTTGGGACATACCTAATCCCAGGTCTACAAATATATGAGCCTGTAATGCTCATCTCTGGGGCTGAAAAACGCAGAGAGCTATTTTCCTGAATAATGTAAGGATAGCCTTTAGTAATTTCCTTTAGTGGATCTCCATTCTGAGGTTGCAGGTACCATCGGACGTCGGCTAGGTCCTCCCTGCCACCACAGGGCAGGGGTTCAGGAGTCTGTGTCAGTGAAGGTTGACATTTGTGGGAGGAATGTGATTTCTGTGGCTCTGGAAAATCACAAAATAAGACAAATTCTTCTTCACTCCTTGCAGAATACATCCAAAGGATTTTTTTGGTGGGACAATCTAAAAATTGTAATAAATAAAGCAACAGAGACATCCATTAGAAGATGGGCCTCTAACTGATGTTCATAAATAGTACCTAATTTAATAAGGAATTAAGCTTCCTGTGTATCTTTCTTTTTCACTGTGCCTATTTTTTAAGAGAAAAGTTCATGGTCCAAGGCCCTCCCACTGGACTTTGGCATCACCATAGCAACCCTGGTTTCCTGTGAAAGATGGCTGAGCCGTCACTCTGCAACTGCTTCTGCTAAACACCGCTGTGGTCACGAGGTTCCCCACCAGTGCTCAGTTCAGGCTGAAAGCCGCTCGCCTCATTCACTCCCCTGCTCCTTCAGGGCAGCAGGAAGGATACTGTGTGTCAGTATGCCATGCAGCAGATAGATCAGAATAAGAAGCACAGTGTTAACATGAAAAGTGAAAACCCCTACCTGAAATATTAAATCCTTTAATCCTCTCTCCTGCAACAAGCCAAAGAAATATGCAGCTCAGGCAAAGCATTGTTCTTCCTTATTCCTGTCATCACTTCAGTGACTTCGTCCTGGTGCCTGAGCAGAGGACCGTGAGGTTCAGACTTCTGCCCTGAGGATCCTCTGCATTTCTGTAAGTCAGGAAACGGGCAATGGAGAAATCGGAACGAGTGACCAACATGCAAGTCACACAGGAAGCCTTAAAAGGGCAGGTTCTACCCAAACCAGTATCGACCCGGCCCTGGTGTGTGTGGGTATGTTCACTGGTGTGTCACAATCTCTTCCTGTGTATCATTTCTCACACATCTAAAGAAAGGAGATTGTCTTGAGCTCATGGTATTTCTTGGACCTGTGCTCTACAGAGTGTGATCTTCCAATGCATTCTTTTTCCCCTCATGGAATTATTTTTTTAATGCTCTCACCTAGTATAAATATTTCCATGAATTTTTCTGAAAACTATGACCCAAGTTGAATGAAAATGTCAGATTCATTGCAGTCAGGTAAGCTGGTGGTTGAATTTCTAATACAAAATCGGAGGATGTCTGCATGTTACTGATTTGTAACAACTGGTTGAGAGTGGAAGAAGCCTGCTCCTTCTAGCTCCAAGCAAGGGGAAAAAGGAGAAAGTTCTCACTGGATGGTGTCACCACTGACTCTCAAATATAAAGGGGGAAGGTCGTCTCAAGGAAGAGAAGCAGAGCTGGGCTTGTTACATGGCGCTTCTGCCCCATTGTTCATAGGGTGGATGTGGGAAATTTCAAGCTTTTATGACATATGAGGAGAAGGATAGTGTGTAGGCAATATTTTATTATTATTTAATAGGGCTTGAGCAGAAAATAAAAAGTATTTTGTGATAGAATAGTTTATTTTTTTTAATTTTTTTGCTATGGAGGCATGTAATCATTGGAAAGAGCCAAAGAGGGAGAAAAAGGAAAGAAAGAGAGAGAGAAGGGAGGGAGGGAGGGTGGAAGGGAAGGAAAGGAAGGAAGGAAACGCAAACAAGCAAGCCAGCTCAGGCTTAGTGTCTCAGATTTCCACCCCCACCTCCTGAATCCTTTCTGATATGAGGAAGGTCTGCTTGGTTTACAAGTCCGTGTGATGCAGGAAGGGGTCTGTGCCGACCCGGGGGGACAGCCGAACAGGTTTCCTGAGTGAAGGAGTGAGAGCCGGGACAAGCAGCGTAGTGTTACAGCACGGAGACGACACAGTGTCTTCAGTGTCGTCTGTTTATTGTGAGCACCAAGGTACAGCACGGAGACGACGCAGTGTTATAACTCTTCAGGGTTGCGTCGTCTATTGTGAGCAGCACGGAGACGACGCGGTGTCACA